TCCTGCTGTGTACAAACCAACAGGAAGGCACTGGGATCATTTCCATCTGGGCTGTTCCTGACATGGCCAAACAGGGCAGTTCCACGTGCAGACCATCTCTGTCCTAGAACGTCGGCCTAAGTGAATAGTTGCAGCTTCTGACTGGAATGCTAGAACAAAAATGGGCACCTGGATTTGCCCTGAACTAGTCTGGGAAGTGTATGCTTTGGAGATCACTAGGGATAAAGACAGAGACCTTATCAATGAGGAATATACTACATTCCTTAGTACTTGTTGTGTATCTGGTAGCTGGTTATTTTTCCATTGGTCAAAAGCCTGAGAAAGGCTGTTCCTGTAGGATGACTGTAGGATGTAGATGAGTACAGCCACTGATGGGAGAATGTTCTTTTTATATTCAGCTGTCAGTGACTCATGATTAATTTTGTAACTCTCTTTGCATGGTTACTTCTCTGTGTTTAAATTTAAATGCCTAATGTCCAGCTAGGTACAGGCATCACAACAAAGATCATCTGGTGCTTATTTTTTCTGTAGGTGTCCTACTTGAGAGGCAAGAGCTGATTGTGTCTTCAAATCCTGATATTCTGGTGGATTTTGAGTAGCAGAAACAGAGCACAAAGTGGAGCTTTTTCTCCAAAGTAATTTTTCAACCCAGGCAGTTCTCATGAGACTTGCTCCTTATGAAACAGGCAGTGGCATCTAGGTTAAGGTCCCTGTGATAGGGTAGTGCCTGCATGTTGATTGTGGTTTTTCAGTTAGAAGTTTGTGCTCAGAACACAGCTGGGCTCTGTGAGGTGGACGTGTCTTTCCCTGGGACATGTGGTAGCCTTGGTGCCTGGTGCTGCTCGGCAGAACCACAGCATTTTCACCTCTGAAACAAAGATCTTTGGCTTTGTTCCCTCCTTGAAGATGATGCTGCACCTCGTTTCAAGTGCTGGGGACAAGGAAAATGAGAGAGATGCTGTGTCAGGGTCTGGAAAGCGAGCTGATCCCTTTTCTGTGCAGCCAGGAGTGTTTCTTAATAGTGTCTGGTTCAGTGACTGAATGCAGCCATCTAACTTCCTCTTTCACTCAGCTTCCATCTTCTGGATGTTGAAGGTTTGGGTTTTGTACTGTGTTTTTTTTCCCTTCTCTTTTTCATGCCAATGCAGTGCTGGTGTAAGAGTTTGGCTTGGCCAGTTCCTGTTATGTCAGGCCACTCACCCTGTCACCCTCAGGTCTTTCTGTGCTGTCTGTCATCTCTTACCTGCTGATGGTCAGTGGAGACAAACCTCTCCACTCTCTCCTTCCCAGGTGGTGAAGGCCTGTAATGAAGGTGTCAGGAAGATGAGCCGAACAGAGCAGATGATCAGCATCCAGAAGAAACTAGAATTCAAGATCAAGGTATAAGCAGAGGCTGATGCCCTGTGCAGCCAGCCAGCTGGGTGCTGCATACACAGCCTGCAGCAGCCGCCAGGGAGGGGCCCCCCAGTGGTAGAGGGGTGCAGCCCCTGCCCCTCGGGCTGCTGAAGGGGTTGTGGGGGGACACGGGGGGCAGTGCTGAGGCCATCGTGCTGTGACATGAGTACAGAGGGGGACACCTGGCCATGCTCAGTGGGTGGCTCCTGCTCCAGCACAGTTCTGGCTCTGCCCTCTCACCTCTCCTCAACATGCAGGTCAGCCTTCTGCTGTTATTTTCCATTACAAATCACATGAAAGGAAAATACAAAGCAAAGTGCTTCAAAGCTGGGAAATACCACAATTAAGACTGTCCCACCATTTTAATTCATCCCTGCATTGTCATCTAATTCTAAGTCATCTAATTACCTGCTGACGATCTATTTTGGCTTCACTCAGGGAGTGACTGAATTAATATTTAGAGATGCCTGACCAGATCTCATTTAACATAGGCCATGACAGACACTTCTCAGACCTTTCTGCCTCACAGACTTTACGGAGCATATGTAGCTTCCCAGCAACCTTTTTACATACCTGGACAACTGAAGCAAACAAATTTGACACTGGGCACCCAAGAATTTGATTCTTGCAGAACACTTGACTAGTGTGTCAGGGCTAGCCCACAGTCCAGATGACATCAGCAGGCTGGAGGAGCCACCAGGCTGCCTTCACCTCCTGTAAGGCTGCGACTGTAACAACAGGCAGGAGCAGGTCCATCCCTGGAGCAGGTCTGCCTTGGGAGAGGAGTGCAAGACTGTGGAAAGAAGGGCTGTGCCACCATCAACGTGATAAATGCAGGGAGGGAGTGAAAGTGGAAAGGGTAGCAGTTATGCAGATATGTTCCAATATTTCACTCATTTGACTGGAAGCACCATGTTCTTCTAATACAAGGCATGCTTTGTTCTGGGCTTCTTGTTTTTAACACAATGTGTGGTAAAGCTCTAGCAGAACTGGTGGTGTGGCTGCTGGGCCAGACCCAACCAGTGTGAACCCATTTAACCTGTTGAGGGTTTTTTGTAGCCAAAAGGCCAAGTATGCTATTTTGAAAGTTAGTCTCCCTGGCCAGAAAGGCTCAGCCTGGGTGATGAAATGTGGGATTGCCCAGAGACAGACCAGGCTGTGCAGGACCTGGCCTGGTGTTTAAATCCAGCACTTGGATCTTCATCATCGCTGTTCTTTAGTGTCTGTTCATTTTCAGGCCCCTGCTGTGTCCCCTCCTGAGCTCTCCCACACTGTGCTGGGCTGGCAGGGCTCACTGCCCTCTCCTGTGCAGCTCTGCTCCCTCCTCTGCAAGTCGCGTTGTGGTGATGGGAGCTCACTACCCTTCCTTCTGCATATCCTGTTGCTTTCAGCATCCCAACCACATAAAGCTCTTGCAGCTCTCCTGATCTTTGCTATCTTTTCCTCACTTCTAGTCTGTGCCCATCATCTCTCACTCCCGCTGGCTGCTGAAGCAGGGGGAATTGCAGCAGATGAATGGTCCAAAGACATCTCGGACACTTCGCACCAAGAAGCTCTTCAGAGAAATCTACTTGTTCCTGTTCAATGACCTGCTAGTACTTTGCCGGCAAATCCCTGGGTGAGTGCAACATTTGGGTAGTAGACAGGGCACTTCAACACTCTTGTTTGTCCCTGGTTTAATCCAGGCTGTGATGCTGTCACTGTCCTGTCCCCCAAGCATGGGGATGACATCCTGGACTGACCTGTACCCTCCCACTGCAACAGTCACCTTGCCTTTGTGGCCCTTCACGGGTGGCATAGCTCTCTGCAGCTGAACATTCAAGGAAAACAGGATTTGAACAGATTCCAGGCCAGGTCTCCCAGCGTGGTAAGCCAGCATGTGTCCACCACTTTCTGCAGAGAGGCAATGAGCTACATCAACTGGTGTGCTGACCCAGGAGTCCTGTCTTCCAGTCAAGAAGTGTTTTTTGACTCATTGCTGCATAAAGAAGAGCTCAGACTCAGACAGTTAAACTTCTAAGAAAGTGGGCTAAACAACCTGAGCAGCAGGGAGGGGTATAAATTTAGACCTGAGGCTGGCAGTTATATTTGACATGGTGTAACCTCCCTCAGGAGGAGGAGAACATTGTTGTGCTTAGGACTATGCCTTGTGCAACTAGACAGGAGTGAAACAGCAGCGCAAACAGACAGGTCCTGGGGAACAACGTGCTCTTTGTGGTGTTAACTGGCCTCACTGGTGGAGTGAGCATCTCACTAGTCCAGGGTGTCCAATAAATGTGTCGCCACAGTGTCTGTACTCCTGGAAATATTTTGCTTCTGCGGCCGCTTGTATCCAGAAAACACAGAGGCATTTTACAAACAGGAATGAATTAAGCCTCACAGTCCCCTCTGAGGGAGAACTGTCCGTGTTTTGTAAGTGGGGAGCTCAAGAAACCCAACCAACTTGTTGTAGGCCACATGGTGTGCCTGTGGCAGAGCAAGAAGAGGGTGTGTTGCTTTGTGGTGGGTTTCCATGGGCAACTGCTTATCCCTCCCCACTGCAGGACAATTTTTTTCCTGATCTCCTCTTTAACCTCTCGCAGGGACAAGTACCAAGTGTTCGACTCCGCTCCCCGCGGGCTTCTTCGAGTGGAGGAGTTGGAAGACCAGGGGCAAAGTTTGGCCAACGTCTTCATCCTGAGGCTACTGGAGAACGCAGATGAGCGGGAGGCCAGCTACATGCTGAAGGCATCATCCCAGTGAGTACAGTGCTCACAGGGGTCACCCTGCTCAGCCCTGCTGCCTCCCTGCACCTGGCAAGGGCAGTGCCCTGTCTGCACGGGGAGCAGCCCTGCAGCTGGGCTGGCCCTGCAGGGCTCTGCCCAGCACTGTGCTCCTGTGTCCCCTCCCACTGAAAGGCACTAGTGAGCCAGGCAGGTTTCTCCCCTGTATGGTGCATTTGTAGCAGGCAGGGTGGAGGATGGACAGGCACTTTGTGCCCTGGGACAGAGAGGGCAGCAATCAGCCCTGGCACGGGAGCCCAGCTGCTGTACAGCCTGCAGCACACCCACGAGGTAAGAGGGGGCAGGATGCACACGGGGCAGGCTCGGGCAGCTCTCTCACAGGGGCAGAGACCCTCTGAAGCAAAGTGACTCCTGCTTGTAGAAGGTGGGAGGAGAGGCCCCTTTCTTAGCACCTGCCACAGCTGATGCCCACCTTGGGCAGCCCCTCTGCTGCTCGGGGTCTCCTTGTCTCCCTGGATACAGGGTTTTAGGCTGACTGATTTTTCACTTAAGACACCTACAGGCTCAGCCTGGGCAGACAATTCAGTTGCACTGACACGGACCAGGCCAATGTCCAGTGTTCTGGAGCTCAGGGCATGGCTTTCTCACTGACCCAAGCCCTACCAGGCCCACGTTTTCCAGGTGTGTGCACAGCCCAACTTGCTGTCAGGAGGCCAGCTTTCACTGTCCCTGTCCCTCCAGCTGGGACCACATCCTTCTACATCCCCTGGGGTTGCACCCTGACCCCCTTGGCACAGCACCAGGACCAGGAAGATGAGCAAGAAATGGCACTTTCTCCCCCAAGCGTGGCTGCAGCTTTGCTGCCCTGAAAATAGAGATGTCAGTCATGGGGTGCAGGGCAAATGCACATCTGAGAAATGGAACTGTGCTGAGAACCATAAACCAGGCCAGGGTTTGCCTCAACTCAGGAGAGGCAATTGCAGTTCTGTGCTCCTGCATCCCATCCCACTTTCTAGATGGCCACAGTGATCCAGCACTCGCCTTTCCCACAGGCCTTGTGCACTGAAATGTGATGTAGCTGGAGGCTGCTACTCCAGAGCTGCAGGGATGATGGGGGAAGCACTGGGTATGAACCAGAAAACTGAAGCAGAAGAAGAGAAGCAAATGCCAAACAAACCAGCTCATATGTTCTGCAGATCTTGCAGCATTGCCCTGCTCTGAACCCACACAGTAATGGTGACCTGCTTGTTGGCTGCTTGCAGCTTATGGCCAGGTGGGCTCTGCCAGGAGCTGGAAGTATGTTTGGACACAGCTGGCAGCAGAGGCAGAGCTGGAGCTAAGGAAGGCCCCTCAGAGGGGGCTGAGAGGAGCTGGGAACTGCAGGCAGGATCCTGAGAGCCCTGCAAGGAGCTGTGTGCAAGGCTGCAAGGCAGCCTGCAGATAGAGCCCTAACCACGGCAAGACTCTTGTTTGGATCTCTAAGTGCCAGCCCCTCATCCTGCACATCTTCACGGGGCAAGGGGCTGCACCTGCAGCTGCTGGTGGATTCACTGGTCCCAGGCTTCAACCCTGACGCACGAGGTGTTCCCGGCCCCAGGGATCAGACTGCCAGCTCTTGTCCTTCACATCTCCCTTTTAGGCCTCTCCTCCCAGAAGACACTCTGGTGGTTTTAGATGTGTGTCAAGTTCAGGCTTTGAAACTTGTGTCTGTGAAAGTGCTGGCTCCCTCTGGGCTGGGAGCACAGCTGCTCCTCCAGGCAGGAGCTGGAGCCTGTGAAGCTGAGGCACCCGGATTCCAAGCAGGGCTGAGGGAAACCTCACAGGAGCCCTGGCCCTGGGGCTTCTCCAGCTCTTATGGAATCTGCACCCTGCTGCTGTGGGCCTAGCAGCTCTGCCCTTTCAATGTTCCTGCGCAGCAGCTGCAGGAATAAATAGTTCCTCTGACTGCTTTTACCCAGGAAAACTGCTCCTGGTGACCCAGCACAGCCCAGTGCTGCCTTTGCTGGTTAGAGCCTAGAGGGTGCCAGGATCCTGCAAGGCTGCTTCCCAGAGGGGCCTCCTGCTGCCTGTGGGGACAGCCAGCCCGGGGTCCCTGCATGGCAGAGCCCAGGGCATGATGGCACATGTGACATCCACAGTTTCACAGGGGAAAAGACTTTCAAGTCCAACCATCACCCTAACTCTTGCCACACCCACCACTAAACCCTGTCCCCTGGCACCACATCTGGCTTTTTAGATGTCTCCAGGGATGGTGGCTCAACCACCTCCTCATACAGCTTGGATCACCAAGTCCAACTAGTGCCCCAGAACAGGACAACCCCAAAGATCTCACCACATCCCTGAGGGTGTTGTTCAAGTGTTTCTTGAATGTTGTCAGGCTCAGTGCCATTACTACCTCAGTGGGGAGCTTCTTCCAGTGCCCTACCACCTTCTTGGGTGAAGAATCTCTTCCTAATGCCCAACCTAAACCTCCTCTCCTACCCATTGTGCGTGAGAGGGGCTCAGCATCACCAGGAAGACCAGGATCCTGTGGGAGGCAAGCAGGAGAGGGCTGTGAGAGGAGGAATTAGGAGCCCCAGGCTGGCTGAGCAGGAGGGCTGGGTTCCCTCTGCCTGTCTCATGCTCATGGCTCATTTCTCTCCCCTATCCAGGAGTGAAATGAAGCGCTGGATGATTTCCCTGGCCCCGAACCGGAGAACCAAATTTGTTTCATTCACATCCAGACTTGTCGGTAAGAGACTCAGCATGGGAGCCAGGAGCTCTTCATCCCTACCCCAGGGCACCTTATTCTGCCCTGATCTCAGTACAGCCTAGGGCCTCTGCTGAAGAGGAACTCTCTCCCTGGGCTGCCCTCACATTTCCACCACTGATGCCCACGTGCTTGGCCTGAGCCCTGCTGGGCTGCATCTGGGCTGCTGAGGGGTGCACTGTGCTCCCCACAGAGCTGCCTCCCCATCCTGGTGGCTGGGTCACACTTTGGCTCCCTGGAGGGTTTCTTACCAGGTTAGAGGGGCCATGCACAGCCCCACCAAGCTGTGCTGTCCTGCAGAGGCTCCCTCCCATACCACCCCTCGTGCTGTTCCCACAGACTGCCCACAGATCCAGTGCGTCCACCCCTACGTGGCCCAGCAGCCAGATGAGCTGTCCTTGGAGCTGGCTGATGTCCTCAACATCCTGGACAAGACAGATGACGGTACAGGGGCTGGGATGGGGCTGGGCACCATGTCCTTGGGTGAGGGTGGGCAACACTCAGGGCAGGCAGCTGTCAAGCAGACAGGACTGGTCCTCCAGGCTGGGACAGATCCTGGCATCAGCATCACAGCCCAAGGAGCTACTGCCTCCACCTGAAACCCAGCAAATTCAGGCTGCCTGAGCTGTGGCAATGCTGGCACAGCCCCCCTGGCACTGGCTGTGGGCTGTGGCAGGGCTGGCACAGCCCCCCCTAGATGTAACCTAAAGCTTGGTGATGCTTTGTAGCATCCAGGTCTCTGGGGCACATCTGGAGCTGCTGAACTCTGCTGGATTGGGTCTCTGCTGGGGCCTGCTCCCATAGTGTCAGGGCAGCAGAGGGCACTTGGGGGCAGCAGTGCCTGCTTTCTGCTGGCATCCCTTGTCCAAACACAGCGTTGCTCAGGCATCTGGGCCTCCTTGGCTAGATTTACAAACTGGCTCTTCTCCACCACAGGCCTCTGAGCAGCTTCCAGAGAGCATGACCAGCTCTGTAGGCTCTTCCCAGCAGCTGTCCTAGCACAGGCACAAGAGCCAGGCCTGCCTTCCTTCCTTCTTTCCTTCCCTATTTATCTACCTTCACTTCAGCAAGGCTTTTGACACTGTCTCCCATAACATCTTCATTAGGAAACTCAGGAAGAGTGGGCTTGATGAGTGGACAGTGAGGTGGATTGAGAGTTGACTGTGTGACAAGATCTCGGAGGGTGATGATCAAAGGATCAGGGTTGAGTTGGAGGCCAGTAACCAGTGGTGTCCCTCAGAGATCAATACTTGATCTGGTCTTGTTCAATGTGTTCAGCAATGATCTGGACAAGGAGACAGAGTGTATCCTCAGCAGGTTTGCTGATGATGCAAAACTGGGAGGGGTGGTGACACTCCAGAGGGCTGTGCTGTCATCCAGTGTGACCTGGACAGGCCAGAAGGGTTGGGCAGAAAAGAACCTCATGAGAGTCAATAAGAGCAACTGTAGGGTCCTGCACCTGGGAAGAAAGAACCCCAAGCACCAATCTAGGTTAGAAGTGGGTCTGCTGGAAAGCAGTGCAGAGAAGGATCTTGGAGTCCTGATAGACAGTAAATGATCCATAAGCCAACAATGTGCCCTTGTGGCCAAGAGGGCCATTGGAATCCTGGGTGCATGAAGAAGAGTGCGGCCAGTGGGTCAAGGGAGGTCATTCTGCCCCTCTGCTCTGCCCTGATGAGGCCACAGCCAGAAAACTGGATGCAGTTCTGGGCTCCCCAGTTCAAGAGAGACAGGAAACTGCTGGAGAGAGTCCAGTGTAGGGTGATGAAGATGACTGGGGGGTTGGAGCATCTCCCTGATGAGGAAAGGCTGAGAGAGCTGGGACTCTTTAGCCTGGAGAAGAGAAGGCTGAGGGGAGACCTTACCAATGCATACAATATCTAAAGGGTAGATGCAAGGAAGATGGAGACATACTGATCTATTGCTCAGTAAATCCCAATGACAGGACGAGGGGCAACAGGCACAAGTTGGAACATGGGAAGTTCCATTTAAATATGAGGAAGAACTTTACTGTGAGGGTGACAGAACCCTGGGACAGGCTGCCCAGGGAGGTTGTGGAGTCTCCATCTCTAGAGATACTCTAATCCCCCTGGATACAGTCCTGGGGAATGGATAAAGTCCTGGGGAATGTGCTCCAGGGGATCCTGCTTTAGTGGGAGAGTTGGACTGGATGATCTCTAGAGGTCCCTTCCAACTCCAGCAATTCTGTGATTCTTGTCTCTGTCTCTGCCCAGGCTGGATATTTGGGGAGCGTCTTCATGACCAGGAGAGGGGCTGGTTCCCCAGTTCTATGGGGGAGGAGATCCTGAACCCCAAAATCCGAGCCCAGAACTTGAAGGAGTGTTTCCGGGTGCACAAGTCGGACGACAGCCAGCGGAGGAAACTGGGCAGCAGGAACCGCCAGTGACCGCAGGTGTCCCTGCGCGCCGGGAGCAGCTCTGGGAGCAGGACAGAGGCTGTCAGGGGGAGGTGGCAACAGTGCTGTGGGCCATGGTGCAGGACCCAGGCACACACCCCCCAAAAAACCAGAATGCAGTTGCTGGGCTCCCCACAGTGCTGATCCTTCCCTGGACATCAGTGGCTTGAACTGGCTAAAATAACCCCCTCCCAGGTGCTCAGGAAAGCCCCACAGAGCACTAGCCAAACAGACATGGCCCAAAGGCCATCAGGTGCCTGCTGATCACTGTTTCCTGCTCTCCTGGGGCTGGGTCAGGCTGTTCAGGAAAGGCACATGGCCACAAAGATAAGGAAGCGATTAACGCCGCCTGGTTTGCACACCTACAGCTCATGGCTGCCTGTTAGTCTGAGGCTCTCCTAAGGTTGTGACCATTTTTGCCCCTGTGCCATGCAGAGGAGACATCTTCCTGCCTCTCACACGGTTCATTGGCACCAGGCTGGGACCAGCCCCAGGAATCCCACCTCCCCAGGCCCCTGCTGGTCCCATTCCCACAGGCAGACCCTCAATCTGCTTCCAGTCAAAGACTCCAAAATGCTCCGTGCCCAGCCCTACTCACCAGCAGCCCAACATTGCCAGCCCTGACCCGCATCTCTGCCTACCCGACAGCTTGGGAGCCCTCCTGGGCCCTGCCCGTGCTTCTCCTCCCTCCACCAGCCCTCCCCTGTGCAGAGCTTGGCACTTCTGCCTTCCCAGCAGATCCAGCTGCCACACAGCACCGAGGGACATTACCCCAGGAGCTGTTGTCCTGCCGTGGCTGCCCGTGCGCTCCTGACCCGCACCACCCAGCTGTGCCCGCCCTGAGTAGCCTCACCTCACTTCCCTGTACCCACAGAAATCCTTGGTTGCAGCAGGGTCAGATCATCTCTCCTTCCAGCTGTGACAACGTGGAGCCCCAGGCACAGCACTGAGACCCACGCGTGGCCACAGGCCAGGGCTGCCTGGCCACAGGCTGGTCCCAGGCCGGTGTCCATCAGGGAAATCAGTTACGTGGCATCTTCCCATGCTGCTGCAGAGAAGTGTCTTCCAGGCGCTGCCAGGGTTGTGCTGGAAAAGGGGCTGGGGAGCAGCTGCCAAGGGAGCCAGACACGGAGTAGAGGAAAACAGCCCATGGGGAGGAAGCGGTCCTGGGGCCACTCAGGGCTGTCCACTTGGTCACTGCAGCCCTGGGACAGCCTGACCAGAGTCAGCCCTGCACTGGGGGATTGCAGGCAGGAAAACAAACTGGGGGAAGCCACAGCAGTGGCAGGAGAGCTTGGAGGTCTCCCCAGCCAGACCCAGTGCCACCACGTTGGCACAAGTGCTGTGCTTGCCCCAGCCCCCTGTAGCACCCCAGGGAGAGCCCCAGGGCAGCAGCAGAGGCTCCCAGCCCCTGCCAGCACCCAGCCCAGAGCTGGGGCCAGGAAGGGCCCACAGCCTCCAGCTGGTGCAGAGCTCATTCAGTGGGGATACCGCAAGTCAGGTCCTCCCAGGTCCCCCATAGGCAGCTTTCCAAGTACAGCAAAATCTCCAAGGTCCATAGACCTTGCAGCAGCCACACATTCTCTAAAAATTACCTCAAATGGGCAGATCCCAGCTCCTCCTGCTCTGCAGCCCAGCAGCCAGCCCAGCCTAGCCCAGCCACCACAGCCCACGCACCTTCCCGGGGGATGTTTTTCCCAGCACAGAAATGGTCCCTTATCTCTCAGAAGTGGCTCTTTCACTAGTGGAGGGGCTGGCCCAGGTTCCCCAGTGCCAGGACACCAGTTCCTCACTGCATTCTTTTTGGGGGAGAGGGGCCCAGGACTGCTGTGCAGTGTCCCACACCCCACCACCAAGCCCCAGGACTCACCCCAGCCCCTCTTGCTCTGTTGTGACTTTCTAGGACTCCAAACCCCAGGCACAGGCTGTGCCATTTTCAGGCACCAAGTGGCATCCAGTGTTATTTCCTCAGCCCTGCACGCCCCCACTTCATGGTCTCCAGTGTTGTACAGGGCCAGGCCTGGGGCCCACAGGCACGGCCGGACCCTCAGCAAACTGAGGGGAACTTCTTGTCGTCTCGTTTTTCTGTGTGATGAAATACAGCTGAGCGAGCCAGTGCCAACATGACACGTGTGTGTTTTTCCTCCCCTCATGCCAACCACTCTCCTCCTCCCTAGCCCCCTCCAGCTTGACCAGCAGGGGGCAACTGGCCCAAAGGCAGGGGGTGGAAGTGGGGCTTGAACACAAATGTGGGGTGGGATGAGACCAGGGATGTGCTGGGGTGGTTCACACCAACTGAGCAAGCCAAGGAGAACTGTGCAAAGTCCCTTATTGCTAGACCAGGAAAGCTGCTGCCAGCTCAGAGCCCCTTGCTGCCCCAGTCCCCCCTGCCCGATGTGGGGCTGGGTGCTCCCAGGAGATCCCTACACTGGGAGCCAGGAGCACTCCGGGGTGAGGCTGTTCCGCAGGCAGAGGCTGGAGCACCCTTGGATATGCCTGCAGCATCTGGGGCTGGGGCAGAAGGGGAGCAGGAGTAGCAGAGGGAGGAGACAGGCTGGTTGGGTTACAGAAAACACTTTATTGAGTTCAGGAGGCCGAGAACTTTCTCAGTGTGATGACGACCAAAGCCACAAGCACAGATGTGCCCAGGAGAGAGGCGATGACAATGGCACCAATAGCTCCAGGCCCCAGCGAGCCTGCAGAGACAGAGGACAAGGTGGAGTGAGGTCAGCAGAGCTGGAGGGTGCCAAACAGGAAGGGCTGGGGGAGTCATCCCCACACCCAGCATGTCCCCAGCCAGGCTGCACTCCTTCCTGGAGCCACAGTGGCCATTCCCAGGTCCCCACACAGGTGGGGTGTGGTCCTGTGCCCCTCTGACATGGAGCCTCTGGGCATGGGGCTGGCACCAGATGCTGGTGACAAGGGCAGCTGCCACAAAGGGTTCTTTGGCACCCAGCACGAGGGAGTTGCTGTGCTGGGTGCAGAACTGCAGGCCTGGAGCCAGCACAGGTGCGGTTGCTCCCTGCCCGGGCACACCTGCCCGTCCTCGGGGCACCTCTGGTAGCTCAGACACCTCCTGGGGGGTGACAAACCCATAGAGAGCAACCCCCCTGTACAGCACCCGCGGGCAGCCCCTGCACGTACCGTCCCCGGCGTCCAGACGGTGCAGGTGGGTCGTGTGCTCGGGCTCCAGCTCGGGGGTGTGCGGGGGGAAGGCGCTGGCGTCCGGCAGCCGCGCGGTGCTGGTGGCCGCGTCCAGGGGGCCGGCTCCGGAGGGCAACTCGGGGGGCTCGTTCCCG